AATAAATTATTATTTAAGTTAATATAGTAAAATTTCTGTTACTTAATATATTAATTAAACAGTGTCTGGTCAACAACATGGTGTAATTTCCTGTCAGAGAATTTCTTTTTTCTTTTTTTTTTGACCGAAAATGAAAGTGCGAAAGCTCGTAAAATTAACTCGCATGCATCAAAGTCTGAAATGTTTCAACGTTTAACGTTAGTCTGCGGAAAAGTCAAGTTTCTCGCGTACAAACGTTTCGTGAGGAAATGAAATCTGGCTAATAATCCTGTATTACAAAATTTTCAACATTTATTTCCCGATTCACTGAAAAATGTAATTTCTTCTGATATTTTCAAGAAATTGTTGATTTTATTATTTTTTCTTTTTATTGGAAAACAAATTTTTGAGGTAAATTTCAATATTTCAATAATAAATGTTTAAAGCAACATAAAATTGATTCATTTATTTTTATTTTTTTGTCAAAGAATGAAATAATTTTTCTGAGTAAGAAAAAAAAAATTCCTCAAATTAATTCTAATTAATTTCTTGGAAATATTTTTTTTTTATTAAAATCTTAAAAAAAAATTCTTGACTCAATTTGATGTGTTTTTTTTTTAATGAATCTTTATTAAAGTATTGCTCCTTTAAAAGTACCTCTGGAATTATATTTGAATATTTGTCACTAAAACGCTTTTGAATGAAATTAAACTTCAAAGACTTGGGCTTTTGAGGTTCCATGTGAGTGGTTGAAGAAGCTTAATAGCTTAGGTGAGCGGTAATTATCATCACTCAAAGATTCGAGGTATATATTGACTTTTGTTGTAAGGATAATATTATTTGTGAAAAATAATTTTACAAACAAAAATTATTTTCCAAAATTTTGATTAGCGGAAAAAAACTGATTAAAAAAAAATCAAAAATAGAAAAAACAAAATTTTAATAACAACAATAATTAATTGTAATTAACATGAAAAATAGAATAAAACAAACAAATTCTAACTTCTAAACGAGCATACAAATCGATTTTAACGAAAGAGCTTTTTGCTTTATTTTGCGCTTTATACTAAAATAAAAAAAAGTCGTCCCTGAGAACTGTGTCCGTGAAACAAAGGACTTTTTTCCGGCCATTCTCCACCGGTCTTTGATATAACTTGGATTCACATAAAATCCTACTTGGGGAAATTCAACCGCTTAGAATAGAACGGATGTTTGGTTGTTCCAAATATTGGAAAAATCAATTCATTCTTTTTTTTTTAATAATGGTACTTTAAAATCTATTGTTCCCTTAATTTACATGAGTTTAAGTTCTATAATCCGTCGTGAGATTTCAAGCAGAAAATTAAAATTCACTTAATGGAATAAATATTGCGTTAAATTCTGATACACATAAAATATGTTCCAATTGCAAAGTAATTGTTTTTTTTTTAATTAATATTTATTTATATGCCTTCATATAATTATATTATACGAATTATAATTCGTATTGAAAATAAATAAATATAAAATATTTTATAACATTTAATAGAATCAATATTAAAATAATAATATTATTTTTTTCAATTTTCATTTTAATTTAAATAAATTTTAATTTTCTTGTTAATTTATTGAAAAAATGTTCTTTAAATATTTTTATCAGTTAATTAACAATTATATAGTAATCAAAATGAACAGCGATAAAAAAATTTAATAATTCAATTTCATGGACATTTATGAAGTAGTAATGAAATTTAATTATTCCATAATCAAATTAAATTATTATAATTAGTTTCGCGTTTTGTGTGGTTTCAGCCATTATGATTATGATTTTTTAATTATGAAATATATATATAAATGGAAAAATTATCCGGTTCTTTAAGATATTTTTTTACCCTACATTTGTGGAGAATAAAATTTCTCTATAATGTAAATTTAGATATATATGTACTTATAGTATAGTATTCCATTTTATTGAAAATGGCGAGAAATATTTTTGCGAGAGTATATATGCAATGTATTTTGAGAATAATTTACATTTGATCCATTTTTATGATACATGTAGTGAAATAATATATAAATAATAAATGAATAGTAAGTTCTTTTTTAATTTTTAAAATTAATTTTTACATTTTAAATTTGTTTTGATTACCGAATTTATTATTAATATTTATTTCACAGAATTAATAATTCTTTAAAGTTGTGTCTGTAAAAAAATTGACATTTACTACTAATTAAGCAATAATAGTAATTCGAAAATTTTCAGTCTAACTAAAATTGACTTTTACTACTAAAAATAAAGTTACCAGATACGTCTGACTAAAATTGACCCATACTACTGAAAAAGAATTTCTAGAATACTTTGACGTTGCGTCTGACTGAAAATGACCTTTTCTACTGTGATAAAGTTACCAAAATACTTTGACGTTAGGTCTGATTAAATCTATCATTTACTACTGAGGCGACAATAATATAAAATAAATGGTATAATATAATTATAATTATATTTATAAATATATAATATAAATAATGATAAATAGTTAAAAATATAATTATAATATACAAAAATATTAATATCTGACTAATTCCGTCTTTTACTACTGATTGACAAATAATAAGAATTTGAAAATTTTTTTTATTAAAACTGATTTTTACAACTGATACTAAAATTACAATTCTAACATTAATGAAAATATATGAAATCATTTCTAATTAATAATCCATATCCATTAATAATAATCGAAAAGCAATTTAAACATAGATACATTATCAAAATAAACGAGTTAATTAAATGTTGACCCAATAATTATTTTTTTAAATTAACATTGACTTTAGAGTATTCCAATATTATTAAGGTAACTAAATTAACTTTTTTTATTTTTATTTTTATTAGTATCTATTATTGTTACGCTTATTATTTTTATTTTCATTATTTTTATTTTTATTATTTTTATTAATAAACTCATTCAATAGTAGTTTATATTTTCATGTTGCCTTTTAAATATATCGGTACCTAATAAACGTGTATATAATAATTAATTAAATTTATTTGTTTATTAAAAAAAAGAAGACTTAAGATTTTATCTCAATTCATTTTTCATGCATATAAAATATGTTATAAAGAAGTTATAACGATTATTATAATTTAGCTACTTTTGACATTTTTCTCTGTGAGATAAGTTCTTTGTATATATATATATATATATATATATATATATATATATATATATATACAATCTTTCAGTTTTTTTTTCTTCCCATTTCTTAGTTCACGCGATATATATATATATATATATATATATATATATATATATATATATATATATATATATATATATAATGCCACTACGTTTAAAATTAATATGCCTTTTATTTCTGAATAGACGGGCAAACTATGGGGAGTGCAATAAAATTACAAAAGGAGTCTAGATGCTTTTTAATGCATTCAAAGTGATTTTCCTTCTGAAATTGCGTCTACCATCTTAAAAGGAGCAATTGAAAACAGAGTTATAAGGACAAGTTGCAGAATACGTATCGCTCGCAAAAATGGTGAAAATTGCAAATAGACAAAATAATTTAGAATTCACTTCTTTTTTTTGAGGAAATGAAAAAATTTTACTTTCTATTAATATTAATGAAAGTAAATAATATTGATTGTTTTTTTTAACTTTATTTAGTATACAACTAATGAATGTAGAAAAAATTACAAGACTACTAAATATGGTAATTTCGTATTAATTAAAGTAGGGAATTACAAAAATTGGTAAAAATATTTGTTCTACTGAAAAATATTTTTAAAAATTGTAGAAAACTACTAAGCGTAGTAAAAAGATTACTAAATATAATAGAAAAAAATTAGTTTTACTAAAAACTCCATATAGTATTTTTTACTATTTTTATTATTTTACTACATTAACTGAAAAATAGATTTTTAATTATATTTGTCTTCTTATTACGCTTAGTAATTTTTTACAATATGTAACAAATTTTTTTTAGTAAATCCAGTATTTTTACTTGTTTTTGTAATTTTCTACTATAATTAGTATTTACTTATCATATTTAGTAATCTTCTACTAAAATTGTAATTTCTTACAATTCTTCTTTGGTTTTTCTTCTCTTCTACTACTATACATTTATTTAACTATGAATGTTAGTATTTTTACATTATATTAGTACTAAATATAGTAAAAAAAAACTAAAATTTTAGTAGAAGACAGATAAATATAGTATAGAATTGCTAAATGTATTAGAAAATCACTAAGCATAGTAAAAAGTCGACAAAATATAGTAAGAAAACTAAATTTACTAAGAACTTACTTCATACAGTACAGTAAAAAACTAGTTTTTAGTAAAACTATTTTTTTACTATACTTATAAATCTTTTTACTACGCTTAGTAAATTTCTACTATATTTAGCAAATTTTTTTTAGCACAATCCGCATTTTTACTAAATTTAGTAATTTTCTACTATAATAGTACCAAATTACCATATTTATTAGTCTTCTGCCACATTTGTAGTTTTTTTAAAACTATTTTCAGTAATCGTCAACTAAAATTGCATTTTTTTTTCGCTATTGTTACTATTTTTTAGTACTTTTACTACTTTTCTACTGTATTTAAACTTTTTACTACATTTAGCAATTGTTTTACACATTTAATTATTTTCCACAAAATTTTACTATTTTTCAACTACTATTTTTGTCAAAGAAGAAAAAATCACATTAATTAGTCAGCAAGAGATTTTCTTTCATAAAAAAAAAAATGAATGAAAAAAAAATTTCACGCGATTCATTGGCAGGCATTTGAAAGATAGCAATTGCTCTTCACCGCGAAACATTCCTTTTATCCGCAACTGTGGCAAAAAAAAAGTCTTTCTCTCACTTATTGAAGACCTAATTTACAGGTGACACGTAAAAAATTCACATCGATGGAATTTATAAAAATAGACTTTTATAAATAATATATATATATATATATATATATATATATATATGTATATAGGCCGAAGCTAATTAACTGCGTGATAAACGATGTTGTCAACTCACTTTCTTTCAATGTTGGAGCGATAAGCGGGACCGCCGTCTGGACTTGATGGACCTATTTTGAATATTATCGTCACAACATCAACCCCTTTGAAAGGGTTGTTTTCGAGGATACATGATATCCTCACAACACTTTTACGCGCACCGGTTTTTTTTTTTTTTTTTGCAAAAAAATAAAAAAAAAAGAAATTGAAAAACAGTGAATAAAAAAAGGTGAAAACAAGTTTTAGCACTCACTCAAACACTATTTTTTCTCCACTTTTTTTTTTTTTTTAATGTGGTCACTGAAAATTGCTCACTTTCATTCTCTTCTTATATCATCTCACTTTATCCGAGTTGAGAGTATTTTTACTTTGTCACCGTGCTGTCAATACAGTTTTCGAAAAAAATAATTGAAAATTTTTTTTTTTTTTTTTAATTTTTCGTCGTATTTTTAGGAAATGAAAATAAAAAAAAATATACACAGCACGCACTCACACACAGACACTTGGGATTATTGTTGTTATTCTCGAGCGACCCTTGTTAGCGAAGGGTTGAGAGCCTACCAGCCCTAAAAGTCCCTTAAGGCCGGATTCGCGAACTTTTCTTTTGCCACTCGGTTTTCAGTGCTTGCCATGCACAGGCGCGAACGGTTTAGAATTTCCGAGGGTTCGCGCGGACGCCGATGGGAGTCGTCAAGAGGTGAGAGAGAGTGGTTCGTGGAAAGAGAATTGCCAATGGTGAAGGGTGGGGGGAGGGGGTAGAAGCACATATACACATACACCGGAAATAGACAAACTGGTGGGGGTTAAAGGTAGCGCAGGCGTTTTGGCGCACCGACGCATTGATCCCTGGAATTCGAGAGAGAAAGAGAAAAAGAGAGGGAGAGAGAGAGAGAGAGAGAGAGAGAGAGAGAGAGAGAGAGAGAGAGAGAGAGAGAGAGAGAGAGAGAGAGAGAGAGAGAGAGAAACAGAATCCGCGGATGTCCACCCTGGAGAGTTCCTCGACTCCTTATTTTGCCGGTCAAGATTCGAAACGTATATTCACCTCCTGTGTGGAATGTCTTGCGATATTTGGCAACTTCAAACGGAAAATGATTCTCTCTCTCTCTCTCTCTGTCTCTCTGTTTTATCGTTTTTCCTCTCTTTGAGTTTGCTGATCTCGTTATTATTTATCAGAGGATGATTGAATCAGTCACATGCTGATTCCGCCTCTAGTCTCTATGTTTAGCTTATTTGATATAAAGAGCGTGAGAGAAAAATAAGAGAGAGAGAGAGAGAGAGAGAGAGAGAGAGGCGCAACTGATGCAGCATTTTCTGTGATTAGTAGTAAAAGTCAGTTCTAGCCAGACATTTCACTAAAAAACAGAAATAATTTATTAATTTTGTTTTAGTAGTAAAAGTCATTTCTAATCAGACTGAGAATAATTGAATTTTTATATCCTAAGTATATTAGTAGTCAAAGTAATTTTCAGTCAGATATATATATATATATATATATATATATTTTTTTTTTTGAAAAGAATCGACTTTATTATCCGCCGGACTAAAATTTATTTTGACTACTGATATACTTGATAAGTTTTAAAAATTCAAGTCTGACTTAAACTAATATTTACTATTTAAAAAATATAAATAAATTACTTTTTGTTCATAAAATATATTAAATAAATATTAGCTACCAGATGTGAAAATTCGCTATCAGTGACAAATCACTTTTCCACTATATAGATTTTCATCAATATTGACCAATGAATTTAATTTAAAAGCTCCCAATTCAAAATTGATGTCCAAAAAGAGCTTAAAACCAGACTCTAAAATCCTCCTCTCTAACTTATGAGTCCATTTACTCCTGGCCAGAAAGCAATCGTCGCTGTCGTCGTAAAACATGTAGCAGTACTTTCAACTCCACGCGTTGTAAAATGAATTCCCGCCCCCTTAAAAGCTGAACGCTGTGTCAACAATGTTTTGTTTAAAAAGAGAAAATGCTGCATCAGTTGCGCCTCCCTCCCTCCCTCCCCCCCCTCTCTCTCTCTCTTTTCAAATAGAAATGAGAAGAGAAATCAGCATGTGACTGATTCAATCATCCTCTGATAAATAATTCTTTGACGTTATGTCTGATTAAAATTGACTTATACTACTGTGAGAATATTATCAGAATTCGTTAGGTCTGACTAAAACCGACCCGTACTACCTGTACCACTGTAATATCAGTAGTTAAAGTAAATTTTTAGTCAGACGGATATTACGCATCCATTTTATTCTAGTTTTAGTAGTAAGAATCGATTTTAGTCAGACAGGGATTTTTCAAGCTCTTAAATTTCTCAGTAGTAAAAGAGAGTATTGGTTAGAGGATGATTTTTTTTATTGCAGTAGTATAGGTCATTTTTAGTCAGACATTTTTAGAACTTTTATTACTCCTTAATAAGTAGTAAAGTTCAATTATTGTCAGACTGAATTATTACGGCTTTTTATTATTAATAAAGCTTCAGAAAAAAAACAATTTATAATTTTTTACATTGCTGACTCAGTAGTAAATGACGAATTCAGTGAGACGTGGTATTCCTCAAAAAAAAGTTTAGTAGTACAGGTCGATTTTAGTCAGACCTAACGTCAAAGTATTGTTATAACTTTCTCACAGTAGTAAAAGTCGGGTGTTGCTGTTGCCCTACCCAACACCAATTTAACCCCATCAGAATCAGGGTTTTGACATAACCCCAAAAAAACAATTGAAAAAATAATAAAATAATAACAGCAAAAAGAAAAAATTTACATTTTTTGTTCAGAACTTTCTTCTAATTACTATGGCGGTATTCCCGAACGATTATCTGAAAAATTTAATTTTTCAAACATTTTTCCAAAATATTTTTAAGTGTAGCTCAGCATCCGCTGGACCAATCAAAAAGTGCGCCATACATATTTTGTTCGAAACTTTTTCCCTTATTTTAATAGCGGTATTCCAGAACGATTATCTCGCAAATTTAATTTTTCTAAATTTTTTCCAAATTTGTTTTCTAGTGTAGCTCAGCATCCGCTGGACCAATTTAAAAGTGCGCCATACATTTTTTGTTCAGAACTTTCTTCTAATCACTATGGCGGCATTCCCAAACGATTATCTAGCGAATTTAATTTTTTGAAAATTTTTACAAATTATTTTTGAGTGGTTACCAATTTGTTAAAAATAAGAATTTTTTTTTAGTAGTAAAAATCAATTTTAGTCAGACATAACATCATAGTAGCCTGGAAACTTTTTTTCAGTAGTACAGATCAGTTTTGGTCAGACTGGGATTTTTCGAATTCTTATTATTCTCTCAACCAGTAGTAAAAGTCGATTTCATTCAGACTAAAATACGTATGTTTTTAAACGTAAAAACCAACATTTTCTTTCTATTTTAAGAACGTAATTAGTATATTTCGTAACGAGTGTGAATATTTGCAGATTTTTGAAAAAGTGTTTTTTTTGGGACGAGCTGTAGGCGAAGCGAAGCTTTGCCTACAGCTCGTCCCAAAAAAAACACTTTTTCAAAAATCTGCAAATATTAACACAAGTTACGAACGATACTTTTCATGTAAAGGTGCAAAAAAACGCACTTTTTAGCACGGCGTGCTAAAAAAGTGCCTCTTTTTTGCACCGCGTTATGAAAATATCTTTTTAAAACGATTTACTTTACGCAAATGCAAAACCTGCGTAAATTTTAAATAAATAAATAATGTTTTTGAAGAACCTAAATTCTAATGGTTGAAAATGATATAAAACAAGAATATAAGATGTAAGAGGGAAAATTTTAATGTTTTTGGAGAGTATAACATAAACGCCATATATATATATACATATATTTATATATATATTATAGTAACATCAAAGTTAAACAGCAACCAACTTACTCGTCTTATCATGCATCAATAGTAATGCTTTCTCTCTCTCTCTCTCTCTCACTCTCTCTATTCAGTAACAAAGTTTATGTTCACATTAAGAACTTGTAGATATATACATAACATATGTCTTTATAACCGCATATATATAAACTTTTAGGTAAAAGTAAAGTTTCTTACAAGAAAGTTATATACAAAGTCGAGAATAATAAAATTTAAGAATTCATCTATATAACAATCGAAAAATTGCATATCTCTATTCTCGATATTTCCATTTTTGATAATTTTAAAAGCAAATCTTTCCATTTGTTGACTTAAACTACAGTTCGCGGAATATTTTACAAGTTTTTTTTTTATTCCGTTTCCTCTTCTGATTTTTTTTGTCCTTTTTTTTATTGAAAATCGAACGAAGGATACTTATTATTCTATTCCTGATTTCGTTCCCCAAGTTTTATTCAACGTTAATGATAATTACAGTTTTCTGTGTTTAACGATAGTTTCAGGATAATGTATATAGAGAGAGAAATTATGATATGGATGCTTTCTAAACTTTCCTATAATCTTTTCACTTTAAAATTTAAATATTATAATATATGAATTAAAAATTAGTTAATATAGTTTAATTTTCTTTAATTAAAAAATTTCTTTTATTTTTTTCAGAAAGGCTCATTTGTTTCGAAGTTTGATAATGAGAAACTAATCTACAAAATGGGGAAAAACGTAAGTTATTCATTTTTAATATTGCCTAATAATTATTAGTCAGACTGAAAATTTACAAATTCCTGTATAGTTTTATTATCGGTTTAGTAAGAATAGTTTTTAGTTACATTAAAATTAATTTTTCTATAAGTAGTAAAACTAGTTTACAGTCAGATAAAAACTTGTCCAATTTTTATAAATTTTATAAAAGTGGAAAAATACTTTCAAATTTAAAAAAATACACCTCTAAAATCGCTTAAATTAAGAGAATTAAATCAATCAATGTCGATACGGGTTTTTGGTTTCTTTCCAAAATAATTGTTTTTTGTTAAAATTCCAATTGTGCAATCCAATACATATATATATATATATATATATAGGTACACCAAGGGATTTTAAATATTAACCGAATCCATCCAAGGTACACTTTAAAAATAATCGACGCATCAATAAATAAGCATTAAACTATGATCAATAAATAAACAAACAATAAACATTTATAGAGAATTAAATAGAAAAATTGCTGTATAAATATTTTAAACTCGTCAATCGTTGTTGTTTTTTTTAACAGTACAGAATTATGAAAAAACATATAAGTTATTCATTGAACAATTTTCGGTTTTAAAAATCGTTCAATCAAAATACGTGTACAGATAGAAAAAAAGTTGCGACCTCTTCAATTTTAGTAACTCTGGGAAAATTTGCGTCGTCATTGCAAAATAACAAAATGCTACATTTAACATTTTAGTAATCTTGTACAGTCTCTGATGCTATAAAGGATAATCCTTAAAGATAACAGAGATATTGTGCCAGAAGAAGGAGAATCATAATATATAACAAAGTTTATGAAGAGGAAATTTATTTGCATTTGCGAGCCAACGTTTAAATGAGACTTATATATATATATATACTTTGACAAAAAAAATTGGTTCAAATATAATCACAATTATTTTGCCATTATTAAACTACTATTTTTTACTATTGCAGATTTTTATTCTGTTTCCATTCTTTATGAATATATACAAGTATCAAATTAATACCAAATATAAAAATTAAATTTATTTATTTAAATATATAAATATAAATGTAAAAATTTAGAAAATATAGATATAAAATTTTAGATCAAATTAATAATTTCATAGTAATGAAACATT